AACCCCTACACACTTGTGTTGGAATGAACATTCAATCTATCAGGGTAGGTAGTTCACAAGCCAACATGTTTATAGTTTTTTTTTTTTCCGTGAACAACTCAACTGGTGATCCTCAAGTCTGAGCCATGTCACATTTGGAACTTGCTGGGGAAGGGAACCCATACAGTGCAATTGCTTCAATCCACCAATACAGTGCAATGCCTGCATGAAAAAACAAGACATGATCTTCAGCACCTGGATCCTCGGGTGGACCTGGAGTTTCTACCGAAACCCTTGGCCAATCACCGAAACCTAATGGGGTCACCGATAGAGACTCTGAAGTTCCTAGTGGCAAACTAGACAAGCCCTTAGTTCTTGTCACCACTCCCAATCACAAGAGTAAAGACATAGTGAACACTAAATCTAGTATGCGTGCATCTTGAAGGGTGTCAAACAAACCAGTGCATCTTCCAGGGTGAAGGGTGAACGGTGGCCCCCGTTGCCACCTAAATCCAACATACTGGTGTCAGTGTTCACTCCCTTTTGCTTACCTTACTCACAAAGACTTAGCATCAAGGAGTACTATCCAAGGAGTTTTAATGGATCCACGACACAAACTGAGCCAAGGCTGCACCAAAAACACACACACATACCCAACAAGTGAATGCTCGCTCCATTCACAACAGGGGGTAGATCATACTATCTAGGCAAGAAGTTTCTCGATACTTAGTTTAGGCACCCTCTTCTATCATCTGAGTGTTAGTGCCTCTTGTATTGGTTGTAAACTAAGTTGATGTTGTGGAACATGGTTATGGACATGTTCAATGCTGTGAGTCTGGGAGGACATTTGGGGTATGTAAGGGTTCTGTGCTGTGAGTGATAATGGTGAAAAGGGGATTTGAACATTGGCGTGGGGCCAATTTACAGTAATGCAAAGGTCTCTGTATGTTGCAAATGGTAGTCTTTGCATCTCTGTTACAGTAGTCTATGTCGTTGACATATAAGTGACACTTCCTCATGCGGAGCTGTGTCTGTGCCCTCTGTGTCACTCCCCATCAGAATATATCCGACCCAGTAAAGCACGGCGCAGCACGGCACTGGGCCCATCTGCATGTAATCCTTTCCACGAGCAGATTCGTCATTTTATGGAAGTGTCGGTTCCAGCTTTGGTACAAGTGACGTTATCTATTGGCCATTGTGTTGTGCAAGAAACATGAAGCCTAACCAAGAAAATCACCTACAATGGCAGAGTTCCGAACTCAAAACTACCGGTACAAGCATAAAACACTACAGCTATTTTAAGAAGACATTACCTGATATACCTCAAGACTGTCAATGGTATTCAATGCTTCCCTGCCCCCAGGACGCCCCCAGGACATGAACCGCTCGAATTTCTGGGCGGCCCAGTGGCCATGCCCAGCAGGTCACCATGGCCGGATTTCTGCACGGTGAAGGTAAAGGTCTTCTCCTTTTCCTGTGGAAACTGCGCGAGTTCTCTCACGGAACTGAGTCTCATCCAGCAGTTGGGCTTGGTCTAGCTGAGTCTAGCTGGCCTACTAGCTGGCTACTAGCTGGCTCTCGGTTTTGAACGGGAGGATGATGCTTCTTACTGGGATGACTATGATAGATGGTTGCAACATACGGGTCTTTATGCACTTGATGAAGTCTTCGTGCAGCACTGTAGGAGTCGGTCTGTTGCCAAGATGAGTCGACGGGTGGTCTTCAAGAATTCATATGAACTAATATCTTTCAAACAGGAAATCTCTGGTAGTATCATATGAATGCCTTGTTTAAAAGCTGTCCAAGCTCTTTGGCTTTGACCATCTCCAGATCCGGGTGGGCTCATGATCCGGGTTGGCCACCTTTCAGGCAAAGTCTTTTGGCTCTTGTACAGATCTACCAGAAGGGTCAAAATCAGCTCCTCCAATCACCCAGTACACCACTTGGCAAACATAGGTGGTCTTATTTATCTATATGCAACACTGAAGGAATGTCATGTCACATGTCTCACAAACTTCGATGGCATTTGTCTAGACACTTCGTTTGAACCTCAAAAAAGGCTCAGTTCGAGCTCAGTTCGGCCCGGTCTGAACCACGGTCACACCCCGGGGAATAGACACGGTCTGGATACGTGGTCCGACCGTGAAAACCGCCAATAGGATCAATAAGGACCCCATAGAAAAGCACAGGTGACTCATGGCGGATTTGACTAGGCCTGTAAGTGTAGATTGTCTTACAATTTATGTCTTAATGATCTAACAGCTTCCAAATGGACCACAGTTCCAAATGGGATGCTTCAGGAACCGCGACACGACTCAACCATCCACCGCCTTCCGACGACCGATCTCGACTCCCGCGACACTCGCCGACGCTTCCCGCCTCGACACTGACGCGATCTCCCGGCGGAGCCGCCGGAGGAGTGAAGTCCTGGGACCGAGCGCATCGTCGACGCCCCGATGTCACTCACCGGGTGTGGCAAACGACCAAGTCGTCACATGAAATACTGCAACACCGAATACGTAACCGGTTGTTGCTGTTGCTGCTCTTCTTCTTCTTCTTGTAGATGGTTCTTTCGGGGGCAGAATGTATACCCTGAGGCCCTGAGAGTGTCGCTGCAGCATATAGAGGATATAGAGGAATCCTTTAGGGGACCTGATAAGGAAGTTCCTCTACTTTCACCAAGAAAGAAGTATGGTCTTTGGACTTCAGTGGTATAGATTCCCGTCCGATGGAGTGTCGTGCTATAAGACGGTGCGACTGGCGAGGATGAAAGGAGGACCGGGTATAACTAGGGTGGTGCAGGAGTTTGTCTTGCAACTGCACCTCAGTTCACGGCCTCAGAATGAGGATCCCACACGGGCCCTCTTCACCTTCCAACAATTCTTTGGTGGCTAGCCCGCTGGCTGGCCCGCTGCCGCAGAGGAGCATCAGGCTTGTCTTGCAAGGGGCCCTTTTCTACTTCAATGGCTCATGTTGCTATATAAACCTCTTGGATCAGGGTCTTGGAAGCTTTTTGGTATGGTACTGTAATCAGAAACACAAAATCAATTCACTCCTATAATCACAAACAAGTTATTTTTAATATACCAGGCTTTCTCCCACCCAGCATCATGCCACAAACTCCGCTTAATTAGCATGTCACCTTGGCATGTGATCCTCACATAACGCATGAAGGTTGCATAACGCATCCTCAATTTCAAAGGGTTATAGATAACATCCACATATCCAAATCATACCAAGAGACTGCCGCAAAAAGTCGCTCAGATCCGTTTTTTTTCCACCCGGTCCTGATCGTCGTCCTTGCCCACGCAGCAGCCCAGCATGGCGACACGCAGCAAAGCTCCGATTTTCAAAGGTTCCAGAAACACGGAACGAACGAAATCTGCACCGATTCGCAGATCTAGCGATATGAACTCATGCTGAAGTGTGTCCATCTCTCAGATCACGGCAAAGGGACGAAAACGGCAGCAAAGGGATGGCAAATGTGTGAAGTTTGCGTGATCTTCCAAAAGAATATTCTGTTCAGGGGTCGAAGTGTACCCCAAAAAGTCGCCGCATGTGCCATGTGACAAAACATCTTCGTCTTTGCACTCTTCAAGGGCGCCTGAAGAAAGAATCTCTTCAAGCAGGACAAGGTCTTCTGTATGGACAATGAAACCATGGCGTTCCAGGATAAGCAATAAATCAATCTACAAACTGAACGTATCCCAGTTCGGTGAATTATCAGCTCTTGATAAGCCTGGTGTTTTCATGGCGAGTCTCACTTGACCACAACATGCTGAAAATCCAAAGAGGCTTCCTGTTGTCCAGACTGGATGATATGTCAACATATATTATATACGATGTATAGATATATCGAATATATAAACTGTTCCACAAAAGCAACTTGTCAAACACAGAAAACCCACACACAATGCTTGATAAACTCCGACTATGGAAATTGGTCTCCTACAGTATACAGGTCAAACTTTGTAGTTTCGGAAAACCATGTTTTTGGACCGGACGCCTTCCTGTCCGCGATGATGAACCTAGCCAGAAAACCCACGAGGACGAGTCCAACCCCCCCAAGGAGACGATCGACCCTCGGGCAAAGTTGACCCATTGCAGCGCTTCGTTGCTCGGAGAATGCAGGTGTCATGGCGAGGGCAAATGCTACAGGTGCTCTCAGCCCACGCGAAGATCCTCATCCGGCTGTGTCTCAGGCAGAAT